TCGATCTCTTGACCTCGTGATCCACCCGCCTCAGCCTCCCGAAGTGCTAGGATTACAGGTGTGAGCCACAATGCCTGGCCCTCTTTTTCTTTTTTTTTTCAAGACAAAGTCTTGTGATCTCGGCTCACTGCAACCTCCACCTCCTAGGTTCAAGCGATTCTCCTGCCTCAGCCTCCTGAGTACGTAGGATTATAGGCGCATGGCACCACGCCCGGCTAATTTTTTTGTATTTTTAGTAGAGAGAGGGTTTTATCATGTCGGCCTAACTTGTCTCGAATTGCTTGTTTTTTTGTTTTTTTTTTGTTGTTGTTGTTGAGATGGATTCTCATTCTGTCACCCAGGCAGGAGTGCAGTGGCATGATCTCAGCTCACTGCAACCTGCACCTTCCGGGTTTGAGCAATTCTCCTGCCTCAGCTTCTCCAATAGCTGGGATTACATGTGCTCGCCACCACGCTTGGCTAATTTTTGTATTTTAGTAGAGATGGGGTTTCACCGTATTGGCCAGGTTGGTCTTGAAATTCTGTCCTTAGGTGATCCACCCACCTTGGTCTCCCAAAGTGCTGGGATTATAGACGTGAGCCACCACAGCCAGCCATCGAACTCCTGACCTCAGGTGACCCGCCCACCTTGGCCTCCCAAAGTGCTGGGATTACAGGCGTGAGGCACTGCACCTGGCCCAGTTTTTTCTTTAAATAAAGGTATGTGGGTAAATTTTGGTGGGGCAATTTATAGGAAGATGAGTAAAGGGTACTACAGGTCTACGGGTAGCAGAAGTTTACTGTGGAGGGCCAGATAGCAAATATATTGGGCTCTGGGAACTGGGCGTGGCAGGGCACACACTGTGTGCCGTGTCTCTATGTCATCTGTTGCAGTAGCGCTATGTGGCCACAGACCACACACAGGGACTGCACGTGGCTGGATTTGACAGCAGTCGGCCTGCTCCTAGTGCAAGCAGTCTTCAAACGTGGTACAGATTGGGAGTTTTGGGAAACAGTGCCTCGATCCTCAGGGCACTGGGGTTCTGGTCTCTACCCCCACTGCTAGGCTGGCTGCCCTGCTGAGCCCCTTCCCCTCCCCGGCCCCCATCCCTTCATCTGAAGCCAGGGCCCCAGCTCCTGGCCTTGTCGGTGTGGACAGGAGCGGGAGGACTGGGCTGTGGAGGGAGGCCTGGGATCTGTTTCTGCTCAGGGGGTGAGGGCATCACAAAATGCTTTCCAGCCCACATAATACCCAGCATATACTGGAAACTTGTTGTGTCTAGAATGTTCTGGAAGCCCACCAACACAACAGAGACGGGCCACGGTGGATTGTCCTTCTACTGAGTGATGCCTGGGAGCCTGGCAGTGTGCTGACCCACTGGTTTTCATCCTGCACTCTGTATATACAGTTTCGTTGATAAAGAAACGCTTCATAGTGATACCCTGATGTGTGTGATGGAGCCAGCACTGGAACCTGGAGTCACCAATGCAGGGTCCCGGCCAACCTCCAGGTTCTGGGCAAGGTGTCAGGTTGTCTCATTTCCTGAGGCCCCCCTGTGACTGACCCTTTGCTCCTTTTCCTGATAAAGGCCTCGGAGTGTCGACTCTTGAGCAGGTGCTGCTGTAAGCGGCAGTCTCTGGGCCCGGGACACCGTAAAGGGCCCTCTGTGTGCTGCTGTGGCCAGGACTCCAGAGTTCTGGAGGAGGTGAAGTGGAAAGCCTGATAACCACGGCGGGTTTCAAAGCAGTGTGGGTGGACTCTGGCATCCCGGCCACCCCTGTATGGAACGCCACCGTTCAAAATGTTTTTTGTGTTTTTTTTTTTGAGATGGAGTCTCGCTCTGTCGCCTAGGCTGGAGTGCGGTGGAGTGATCTCAGCTCACCGCAACCTCTGCCTCCCAGGTTCATGCCATTCTCCTGCCTCAGCCTCCTGAGTAGTTGAGACTACAGGCGCCCGCCACCACGCCCGGCTAATTTTTTGTATTTTTAGTAGAGACGAGGTTTCACCGTGTTAGCCAGGATGGTCTCAATCTCCTGACCTCGTGATCCGCCCGCCTCAGCCTCCCAAAGTGCTGGGATTACAGGCGTGAGCCACTGCGCCTGGCCCAAAATGTTTTTAATTTTTAATTTTTTTAAGAGTCAGGGTCTTGCTCTGTTGCCCAGGCTGAAGTGCAGTGGTACAATCACAGCTCACTGCAGCCTCCAACTTCTGGGCTCAAACGATCCCCCCACCTCAGTCTCCTGAGTAGCTAGGACTACGGGTGCACACTACTACACCCAGCTAATTTTTAACATTTTTGTAGACGGGGATCTTGCTGTGTTGCTCAGGCTGGTCTCAAACTCCTAGGCTCAAGCAATCCTCCTGCCTTGGCCTCGAAAGCACTGGGATTACAGGCAGGAGCCACTGCGCTGGCTGATGAAGATGTTTACTTGTCACCTGCCCACTACTCTGGGAGCTCCCAGTGACAGGGTCTGTGTCACTGGTTACTGTTTTGGCAGGGGGCTGGCACGGAGCTGCATCTCTGCCGGGTTCTGTGCAGGGCAGCCCTTTACTGCAGCTCGGACCAGGACTGTCTCAGACGGCAGGGGCTGCTGCTTATGTCCTATGACAAGTTCCCGATGCCTGAGAGGGGCCTGGGTGCTGTGCGAGGCCAAGCAGGCCGGCTCCAGGCCTCTGCCTCTTCCCACAGTATGGGGCTCTTGTCCCGTTTTACAGCCGGGCGGGCGGAGGCTCCCGTGGGGTGGGGCAGGGGCTACTCACTGGCTGCCTCCATCATGCTGGCCCAGAAGCGGGGCTGCTTGTGCAAGGGGTCGTCGTCGGGGCCGCTCAGCTTGTAGACGTGCACGCAGGGTGGTGTGCTCACGCTGCTGTAGTGGCTGACGAACATGTCGAAGTTCTGGGGGTGGAATGGGGCGATGAGCTCCACAGGACGCTGCTATCCCCTTTCCACTGGGTGCCGACCGCAAATCCCGGGCAGCTTCCCTCCCGCCCGCCCCATCCTGTCATGAAACCTCAAAGCTCCACCCACTGCTGCAAGGCGGGCACCACTGCCATCGCCCCATTCTGCAGAGCAGGAAACTGAGGCCAGGAGGAGTCTGTCCCCCGGCCAGGGGCCCGTGGACAGTCACCAACGCCCTGGATCTGCCGAGGGCTCTGCCGCTGCCCAGGCCTGCACACTTGCTGGTTCCACAGCTGGCAAACTGCAGCTGACTCATGCCCTGGACTAGGGGTGGCCCTCTGCATGGCCACCGCCAGACATTCTAGAATGTTCTGAGAGGCTAAGGGCCATATCCCACTGCACACAGAGCGGCAGGGCCCAGGCTCAGTGGACAGGCACTGGGGGGGCTCCACCACTTACTAGCCTCGGGGTAGCAGTGGGCAATTCACTCCCTTCCTTGTCTTACCCAGGAGGCAGGGGTGGGCACCACCTGCCCCAAGGCAGCTATGAGAATGCAAAACCATGAGAGTGGCCCTGGGTGCTGTGCCCGGCCATCAGGGACTGCTCTGGCTGGGAGCTGTTGGACAGGCACAGGGCAGTGCTGTGAGGCTGGGCGGTACCCACCTGGCTCATGGAGCAGCTGTGGGAGAAGCCGGGCGTGGTGAGGCGCACGATCTCCCCGGCCGCCTCATAGCTGACCACGTAGAGGTGGTGCTCCAGCGGCGTGTCCTTGGTGCCCTGGAAGTACACCAGCTTGGTCTCCTCGTTGACCCAGATCTGCAGGGGGACAGGAGGTCCTCGTGGTGCATCCCAGATGCCCCTGGGCCCATGCCCCTCTCCATGCCCCACAGGAGTGGGTCCCATGTTCCTCGGACTGGGGACGCACGCTGTTCTCTCCCAAGCCTGCTTTAGGGCTGGAGATGAACTGTCCCTGAAAGATGCCCTTATCTGGCCCCGAGGGCTGGGAGCAGCCCCTGGTCGAGCTGGGAACTGCGCATCCTCAGGTGGGACCTGGAGCCTGAACTCCACCCACAGACGACTCTCTCTGGGCTTGAATTGGGAGGGCCCGCCGAGCCAGGTGGGAAGGCCAGGGAGGGCACCGTGCCCAAGACAGAGGCTCAGGGGAACCCAGCAGTCCCCAGCCTGGTCAGCCATTCCTCTAACCCAGGTGCTTGGGTTCAGAAGTGGCAAGGCCCTGCCTTCCTGTGGGAAGCCCCAGTAGTGGCATCTCCTGGAGGAGCAGGAGGACAGCCTGCACTGCGTGGAGCAGTGGGGCCCCTCCTTCACCTGCGCTGGGACACTAATGGCCTCGAAACAACTGCTACTGCCCGGGAGCGAGCAGGCTTTGGCTGATGCCTCAGAGCCCCGAGGGAGGAGAGGGCATCGCCCCGTGCCCAGGGCCTGAGAGGCCGGTGGAGGCAGCTGGAGCCTGGGGTGACTAGGGACCCCAGGACGTGAGGAAACTGAGGGTAAGTGGTCTCCCGGGACAGCAGGGCACGGGCTTCCAGTGCAGGGAGCATCGCGCCCCACAACAGGGCAGCTGGACGCATGGCCCCAGAAGGCCTGCAGAGGACACGCTTCCTCTTTCATGATTTCTAAAAGGCTTCCAATGTTTTCCTTAATTTCAGGGTGAAAGGATAAAGCACATGAATGGCACAACGTTCAAGGTGAGACAGGGAGGTGATGAAATGATTGGCTTGTGTGTACGGCAGACACTGCTGAGGCCTGCAAAGGGCTGTAAAGCAGGGTCCTCACAGGTCTGTGTGCGTGTGCACGCACGTGAGTGTGTGTGTGCATGTGTGTGAGATTGAGTATGTGTGTATGTGTGTGCGTGTGTGTGAGAATGTGTGTGTGAGTGTATGCGTGTAAAACACACATGTGTGGATCAGGGGAAGGCTGCAAGGAGACCCTGGTACCTTGGAGCCGTGCCTCGCCAAAACCTCCCATTCACCGCTGGTCAGAGCAATCTCTTCCTTAATGGGGCACTTAAATTCATCTGGAAGGAAAGAAAGAAGGGAGGTGAAGGGGCCTGGGAGGTGATGCAGGCACCCAGGCCAAATTCCACCCAAGGAGACTCGCCATGGAGCCACTGAAACCCTGGGTTGCCGTGAACTCAAGACACCAGCACAGGCCACTGCGTCAGACCTGCCAGACAGGAGAGGAGGCCTGCGGGGCCTGTTCCTGCCATGTGGATGGCAGGCCCGGTGTTTCCCACGAGAAACCAGGAGGCCCCTGGCTCACTAGTGTAATCCCAGCACTTTGGGAGGCCGAGGCAGGAGGATTGCTTGAGGTCAGGAGTTTGAGACCAGCCTGGGCAACATAGTGAGACCCTGTCTCTCCAAAAAAAAAAAAAAAAATTAGTCAGGCATGGTGACGTGTGTCTGTGGTCCAAGCTACTTGGGAGATTGAGTTGGGAGGACTGCTTGAGCCCAGGAGGTTGAGGCTGTGGTGAGCTATGATCACACCACTGCCACTCCAGCCTGGGTGACAGAGCAAGAACCCGTCTCAAAAAAATGGAAATCTGGTGGCCTGCACACCTCACAGGGGCCGGGTCTCTGGTCCCTGGTGACACTGCAGCAGCTCTGGGAGGTCTGTGTTGAAAGCTGGCAGCTGTGGCTGGCTCTACCTGGAGACCACATTTGAAACTGTGAGTGCTCGGCGCCAGGTGGGCCCATTTTCCCATAGGGGGGGAAAACGAGCATGGTACATGAAGATCCCAATGCCAGGTGGTGGTGGCACTAAGCCCCATGTACAGACAGAAAGCAAAACCCAATGAGCCGGTAGACAAGAC